TTTAAAAAAAATTAAAAAGTTTGGTTTTGGAATTTTGTGGAACTGCTGACTTGGAAATTCCAAGTCAGTGTTTTTGCTGACTTGGAATGGAGTGGGTCTCACAAGTTGTGTTGCGCTCTGTGTTTATGAAGAAAGAAAGAAAGAAAGAAAGAAGCATTCCCCTACGTGGCCCGCGTGGCATGCACCCTTTGGTCTTGAGGTCGAATCATCCCTGTGTAGAACAGATGCTAACTTAACCATATAATTTTTATTGGCAAAAAAAGAAAGAAAGAAAGAAAGAAAGAAAGAAAGCAAAACCTTTTCGCGACGCCGTCTAATTGGAAGAATTCCAGTGATTCGCGATCATCGTCGAGTTCGTGAACCTCATCGCCATGGCTTTCACACTCCATGATGGTGGCGGTGGCGGCGGCAAACGGTATCAAAAAGTGCAGACCCACTTATTGCTGATGACAGGCGGGTTCTTGTTCCTGATCTCGTTGCTGGGGCTGAACGCTACATTGCGCAGAAACAATTTCGTGATTCCCATCTATTGGACCCCGATGTTCTTCCTCATTGTGGGACTCATCATCTTCATGGACTTTACCACATTCGTTATTCTGGTTACAAAAGATGCCGCTAGAAAGGAGTTTTCCAAAAAAGAGTGTCCGCAGCACAGGACCGTTGATTACACCAGTTAGTTGAAGAACCATTTTAGCAATGGGAAGAAGAAGAATCTGTTTTGGAGTTTGCTTGGTGGACACCCATATCTGTTATACAGGTATTTGTTTAAAAAAAAAGGTTATATTTTTCCGTCATGTGAAATTTGGTTTGATTCTTTTGATGAAATAACTGACATTTAAAGTGCTTGAAGGTTGAGAGTATAGGAACTAAAGTACTTAAAGTTAGAGGGTTTAGAGACTGACAGTGCCATTATCTCTTTTGTTAATTGTGATAAGCTGTGATTTTGCTCAAATGCTTTGTCTTTTTTCTTTTTGGCATATGGGTTATACAACAGGAATCCCCTTCCCAAACCCCTTCTCAGGATTCGAACTTGAGAGCTCCAACATGGAGACTCAAGTTTTTAACCATTGGGACATCCCTAGGGAACATTTGAACTAGGCATTTAGAGTTGGAAAACTTCATACTGAGATATCATTTTAGGAGCTAACTGTCAATGAGTCAGAGTCTACTAAGTTTTGATGGTTTAGACTTTAGAAGCTCAAAAAATTTCTTTTAATTGTTTGTTTGATGGCATTTCGGATTGCAAATCAACAACAACAACCATTCCATATACTTTATTCAGATTGCCAAATAAAGGTTCCTTTAATCTTTTATGCTAAGGAAGAAAGGTATGGAATCAAGGGTTTTAATTTTAAAAGATGGTGATGCCTATGTTTGGTTTTGTGCATGTTTTTTAGACTTCATATTTATATTGAAAAATAAATTATAAAAATCAGTATTTTAGTAAGGAAAGCTGTTATTAGAAGTTGATATTTTTGCTGATTTTTTTATTTATGGTAAATAAGGCATGTGGAACCTAGATGATGCTATGG